GAATCTTCTTTGCCACCTTACCGATAATTTGTAATAATTACTAAGGAAATAAGTGACTCATATAACCACTATTACGTTATAGTGGCTAACAGTATATTCTTCTCTACTCTCTATAAACTAGAATAATGACTAGCCCTAAAATAAAGAGTGGAGAACTAAGATAAGTTGTTTCTTCGAATTTTACTAGTGTAGATGAGGTGAGCTGACAGAAGGATTATACTTCGCACTATATTTAGTAATAATACTCGCACCTGATACGTAGGTACTCAAGTCAGGTAATCAGAATAACTCAAGAGTAATTTGATTAGATTTGAGTGCTAGAGGGTACTCAACTCAACTCAAATCATTAAACACACTGGTTCTTTAATGCAATTCGTAAAACAAATCATAGCTGCTTTAGAAGGTCATCAATGTACGCAGAGAACTTCGATGAATGAAGCAAAAGAAAGTCAAGAGGAGTCCAGACCACCTCTCATCCCCATTAACCACACGGATATTTTTCCAAGCCTAGTTATTTACACAATGTGCAATCTTGGGTTGATGATCATGGTAGGTGCAGAGGACGCAATTCAAGATTGAAATGCGAGAGTATGTGAAATACTTCGGCGCGATCTCCTTCTTTCCAATGATTTCCTTAGCAATTGCCTCTGCGATCGTCATCGCAGCCTTTCTGGGGAAGATATCGGAGACTAAGGGCCCGTTTGGGCTCGCGAAATACTTAAAATACTGGTACCTGGATATTGATATTAAATACTCGCAACCAAAAGGCTCCGAAATTTTCGAGTATTTATTATTGGTATTTCGGCGTTAGTATACCTAATTTCCGGTTGCTATCGTCTATTCTATTGTAATATTACTACTATGTCTCAAACTATTAGGCTAATAACGAAAGCTATAGATACCGAATCTTCGCAAAGGAAAGCTTATAGCGAGAGTATTAATTAGACTAAAGAGCTTAAAGAGTCGTTAATTATAATAATAACTCGATCTATCGAATCGGGAAAGCTAGCGGATAATGTATTTAAGAAGGCCCACCATGCGAGTATTACTGTCGAAGTTTAGGAGTCTTACGATATGTTAGTGTTTGTAATATGTGGTTTTATGGGTGAGAAGGAGGCATATCGATTATTTACAAAGTGGAATAGAACCTAAAGGTAAACAACCCTCTCTGCCTTAAAACCTTAGGTTGTGGCTAACAAATCATAGTATTTAATATCTAGTATTTAATAATTACATTCCGGTAGGACCTCCGTGCTAGTATTTTAAAACCTGGTATTTAATATAGTATTTCGCGAGCCTAAACGGGCCCTAAGACAAGCCTGAGTTCTCGGTCGGCGATGGTAAGGCGGTTCAAAATCATTTCAACACGTATAGATTTCAACTAGTAGGTAATCTATGGACAGAAAGTCGATTATGTCGTTATAGAAAGAGACCATAGCGAGATAAGTCACCCGCGGTATAACAGGCGATGAGTGTTAACCTTACACCTTGTAATTAAATGCTGTGACGGACATGAGCAACACCAGATTGCTAGCAATACATGTAAAACTTCTAATTATTCATAAAGCATATGCCAGACTTTCTAATCGCTACTTCCCTACTACCGTCGCTTAACAAAGCCGCCCCTAACCGCTATGACCCCACACTGCAAACTCTGCACCGCTCGGCCCCTCTGCCACACAACCATGCCGTCGCAATGGATATATACTCTATCAGAGTATCATTTCAACCAATTAAATCCTTACGGCAACTTGGCCGAGCGGTTATGGCGCCAGTTTCAGGTCAACTTGAAATCTATATACTGGTTCGAAAGAGCGTGGGTTCGAATCCCACAGTTGTCAACCCTCCTTTTGCGGGTTTGAAGGTTTTTTGGTTGGGGGAGTTTGGAGTTTTTTGGGAAGTGGGAAGTGAGAAGTGGGACGGGGGTAGCGATGTGGAGAAAGAGTTCAGTCAGGGTGATAGATGAAGGAAATCTATCCCTTCTTCCTCTTTTCTGGTTGGTCGACAAATCAAAAACCGAAGCTGATATCCAACAGAGTAAATCTCACAATTTGTGGGTTGTCAAATAACCTTAACACAAGAAGAAAAGGGAGAGAGAGCACCGGAAGTCTTGCAAAATCACTTGACGAAGCTCCCACTTTCTTCTGTTGCAAAGTAGACATGACAAATCAAAGATATGTAAGGGACGCGCAAGACTCGAAAACCTGAACTGCTATATCAATTTTTTGTTCAGATATTCCAAACAATGACGCCAGCATAATTGCTAGAAATCACAACGGTAATGCGAATCCTAAGGTTTGAGTGACAGGTCACGCAAGAAATCAGATAAACATCGGTGGAACCTTAAAACTCGATGGCACCCTCAACACGCAATAAACATTGTATCACAACACGCAGCTATGCACTGTAACCACACATTCTCAGATACACCAGTGGGTGACAGAATTCTTTACGCACGCTGATCCCCCACCAAAAATCAACAATCACTCTATATTGACTATTTATACAATTGTACAACCAAATCACCACTTTGCAGAGCGTATAGGTCCTCCTTTTGATCTCTTCAGCTCTGCGTATCTTCTAGGTAAGTCAGAAATACGACTCCTGATCTGTTCTAGCGTAATTTTGTCCCACTCTTCTTGTAAAGCCTCCTTCATCTCTTCCTCTGAATTGAAGATTCTTCTACGTAATCTCTGCTTAATAATGTTCTAAATACCCTCTATAGGGTTTAAATCAGGCGACTGTGCAGGGTGCTTAAGGTTACAAATACCTCTTGCCCTCTTATATTCCTGTGCAAGGCCCTCCTTACGCATACCATAAGAAGGGTCGCTATCCTCTTACAAAAGCCATAGTTTATTGTCAATCTGGCTCATAGACTGAATAGTAGTACAGTAGATAGGTAAAAGCTTCTCTACGTAGTACTTCTGAGTTATTGCGTTGCCCTGAACCTTCTTTTCAACTACATGTGGCTTTTCTGCCTCCCAGAGCTTAAGTCTCCCCTTATATTCCTCCTCCGTTTCTGTTGTAGGTCGACGGCGAGGGCGAGAAGGGTAAGGAGGAGTTTCGACTACATCTTGTGCATCGTTTTCGTCGTTATAGAAGATCAATTTGTCGGCTTTACCGAACTAAGAGATCCAGCCAGTAATGTGGAATCGTACACCCTTAAGAGGAGGGATTTCTTCGATGTTTTCAGGCAAGTAACGCGTTCCTTGCTCGCGTAGAACTCGTCCTTGGGTCTGCGAAGTAGGATTAATATGTGCCTCGTCGGTATATATAATATGATCAAAGAAACCGGCTATTAGATCGTGCTCGTGCTCAATTCCGAAAGCCTTCCTATTATCGCGATTTGCCGGAGAAATAACCTTCTTAATAAAGGCACATAAGTATCTTCCACCCTTGTTGGTATGCTCCTTGACTTTCCTCTGCAATTGGCGTTTCCCGATAGGTAAATCGTAGTGCTAAATCTGTGCTTCGAAGGGGTGTTTCCGTATAGGATTTGACGTAGCAACTAACATCTTACAAGTTGCTTTAGAGACCCGCGATTTCCTTCCAAGAACATTAGACCTTTGCCTAGTCTTTCTCTTTGCAAGATCCCCAAGTTCTAACTGTTGTTTAATCCAATATCGACCAGTTCCTTTAGTAATACCACAAGACAGTGAAATTGACCGGAGCGAGCGGGTCTTTCCACTACGCGTTAGGGAATCGTAGAATTTGGTTTTCCTCGTAGTTGTGGCTTCTTTATTAGCAAGAGGTTCTGGGGAAGGTGTACGAAAAGGATTGGAGCGCGTTATTGGAGCCATGATGTAGTTAAAGTTGTTGTTTACAATTTACAAAAAGTCACGATATCTAAATTTGGTGTTCTTGGCCCGTGCGTAAATAATTCTGTCACCCACTGGTGGATAGGCTTAATGCGATGACTAAAACGCCCATCTTCTCGACATTTTTATACACGATCCCATTGACCGCGAAATTGTAAGCCGCTCGTCTAGATTTAATGCTGTAAATTAGCCCCCATGGCCGGCGACAAGGAATCAAGGAAGGATACAACCTCCAGGGCTTTTTAATTCCTAGGCGAGGCAAAAATTGCCACTCACGCTGCTTTTACTTTACACAAACACGTCAAATACGTCAAATTAATATAGAGTCAAATTCTCAGTACTTTATGTACCAACCATGCGTAGCAATGACGGCTACATAGCGCTCGTGCATTGTGTGTACTAGATCCCTGATCTCAGCGTCTGTGATATCGTCCTAGGCCTTCTATACAGCTGCCCTTAGCCTTGGGTAGCTCCTGTGGACCTCAGGGTCTAAAACAGTCAGAATGTCCTTCATTCTATCCCACAGGGCTTCAATTGGAGACAGATCTGGTGAGAATGCCGGCCAGAATACTGGAATAATACCACAATAACGTGCCATATAGTTAATGCTATATTGGGCTATATGGCCAGGGCCACCATCCTACTGGAACTGTAGACCTGGATGCTGGAGCATATAGCCTAGGACTATAGGGACTATATACGCGTAGTAGGTTTCCTTCGTAATTGTCCTCTATTTCTTTTCCTAAAACAAGCCAGCTCCTTTGCCGTACTTCCCTGAAATGCAACCCTAGAACATCCATCCTATCTTCCTCTGCCACCTCTACTGGACACAATCAGGGAGAAAGAGCTCTGACGTGCCTTTGAGACGTGTAGTCCACTGCTTCCATCTGTGAGGACCAGGAGAAGTCCAGGACTCGTCACTCCAGAGGATACGGTCCCACTTCTCGTCGGACTAGTCAAAGTGCTCAACAGCCCAGGTAAGCCGCGCAAGGCGATTCTTCTCTGAGAGCGGGGGCTTTTTCCTCTTCACGCCCCGGACATAACCCTCAGTTGCAAAGGCGCGTCGGATCGCTTTCTCTCTACACCATTCCTCCCATCCTAGGTACTGTGGAACGTCCCTCCACGAGACATTACGTGTAGTATTGTCTGTTATTGCCCATTTGACGAGTTGCTTACGATGCCGCGGTGTAAGCTTGACGTGACGTCCACAGTTATGCCTTTGAGGTGTTGGACGAGTCTTAAGAGCGTAGTCAACCTGATCGCGCGTCAATCGTGAGAATTAGAGAAGAATAGTATCGATTTCCCACCCGGCTGTGTAATATAGTGTCTGGATTTGTAGCTTCTCATCTCTTGTAGTCTCTTTACTTGAAAACTTTAGATAAGGCACGTGCTATGTCTCTGGCTCTGGCGTGTGAGGATCTCTGTATCGTGAAGCTATAGAGTTTAGAAGACGAAGGATTAAAGCTTCTTTATAGTAGCGTGACTTTGCCACTGTGAGGTGCTTTTTGGAACATCTGATTAGGTGGTGCCACTGCGTCATGTGTGGGTTTGAAGCTGAATTAGGCCTCGCCTAGGAATTAAAAGGCCCTGGAGGTTGTATGGTGAGGGAGCTAATCGGTTGGCCATGTCCCATCCGACGAATTTCTTATGAAAGCGGATTGCGATTGTCCAGAGAGAGTACGTGGATGTTGCTATTAATAAGCGCAACTTCGCCGCCAACATGGATTTCGCTAGCCTATGAAGTTATGATATCTGTCATCAAGTTTTGTCGGCGAGGTGTGCCGTGAGGGAATGAGTCTGAGATGAAATTGCGTTAAAAACATAGGGGAGCAACAATGCGACTCACGCTGATCACGAGAAGAATAAAATGATGTGGCAGAAGTAAACTCGATTGAGCCAAGACTCTGCCCTCCCCTAGTCCGCCCCCATAAGGTATGTAAGAATACAAAGGCATATGCTTCATCCAGCGTTAACTACATAGCCGAAATGTAGAACCGATTTCCCAGGGTCCATGTAAATGCCAAAATGGAGCAGCCCCTTCCCCTCACTCCTCAATTCCCTCTCCCTCCCCTTCGTTCTCTTCGATGAATTGAACTCGTCCCCGACGGCAACAGAATATAGCAACAGCCATCAACCCAAAATCCCAGATCCCATCTTTTCAAAGGTAAGGAACGGATAAAGCAATACAAAAATCGGGATCTAGAAACAAGACGCAAGCGATGCAATATTGATACAGACTGAAGGAAAATTACAATGGATCACAAAAGGTACTCGGAGAGCGGGCGGAAGCGTGCCAGGACATGTTCAGCGTGCTCTCTTCCCCTGTCTCATAAATGAAATGAGATCCAACTTTTGGGTGCGCCATCGGAGTGATAAATAGCTTAGAAGTAGTGACCAGTCAAGCGGTTGGCGATATCACTTGGGTAGCTGTTGGTAGCTCCCGAGTTAACGACCAAGTCCCCACCAGGAACGTAGCTGTTATCACCCGCGTTGTATAGACGTGCAGACCAGTATGTCGCCTGCGAATCCTTTGCGCCCTTTTCAGCTGCCCACTGAAGCCCATGCGCAAGACTGCTCTCACTTCCATCAGTAGTCCCGAAAGTCCCGTCGCGGATCATGCCGTAGATGTTCTCCTTAGGGCACTCTCCCTCGCCGACGGTCTCGCAGTTGAACTTGCCGTTGTGTGATTGCATAAGTCCAGGATTGTGGACGCCGTTTGCGGTAGGGTTGATGCGGACGCACCCGTGTGATTCTTGGGTGATGACAGCGAGGATGAAACGTTTGTCGACTTTTGTCTCCTCGGAGGCTTTCTCGATGCCTTCAGAGATCGCTTTCATATCTTCGGGGGTGTTTTGTTTGACACCACTTGGGCAGGACTTTGTGAACTCTGCGCTGGCTTTCTCCCACCTGTGAGGATTATTAGTTGTGAAGTGGGGATGGCGAGGTTAGGTACATACATAGTCTCGTAGGACACCCACTCTGACTCCTTAGGCCAGTCGCTTCCATCACCGCTGTACTCTTGC